TCGCCCCGCTGAGCCTGCTGGAGTCAAAACTAAGCTGATTAGAGGATCCTGGGGACACAGGATCCTCTAGAAAGGCCTGACTTCAAAGGTAACAGGCGAAACTGGTCACCTCAGCTTCAGACTTGATTTATTCCTCCCCCTTGAGATACCTGCTGACAGAAAACATCACATTTGAAGGACAAATGTGTGAGCCATTTCAACCTGTACAGTATTCCCAGTACACCCCTGCCAAGCTTTCCAGCTTGTGCCGTTTTAAAAAATAAACAAACCACTTCAGAAACTGCTGAGCAGCACTGAACTGGGGCAGGTGATCATGTATCTTCTGCTTCCCCAACCTGAGGAGTAAACCCAGTGCTGTTCCTTTGAGTCACTGGTGTTGCACCAGTTTCCTCTCACCAGGACCTGAGCTTTCCACACTTTGCAGAGAGATATTTCCCCTGCAAACATTTGTTTTGCAACAGTTTGTGCTTCTGCTGTCAGACATTATTTTTTACCCTCGGAATTAATGATTAACAATTAAATTATTTGACAGGGGAATAGAGGCCTTGTGCTGATTAAATTCCTTCATCTCTCTGCTTCACAAAGGAAAAAAAAAGCTGTATTTCTCAATATCAGCATTCAACCAGAACAGAGCAGTTTGTCCATCTAATTAGGTCTAACATCACAACGATGGGCACAGCCAAAAAAATCATGAAAATATTGCATAAGGGCCATACAAATGGTAAGGGAAGGGTAGAGAGGAAACCAAAGAAACAGCCAACTGGGAAGCTAGGAACCAAGCAAACTGACAAATCCAGACTGCAGAACAGCCCCTTCCTAAACCAAATAACTGCATATAAGACCATATCTTCTGCTTAGCTGGAACAAAATAATGCAGACAGAGCAAACAGTGCCTGTATAAGGGAGGAGAAACCAGTAACAGGTGTCCTACAAAGCCTGACCGCTCCATTTTAAGGAATGCAATTCTTGGGTATCCTGAGAAGCTGGGCTGGTCATCTCCACCAGCTTTCACCTTCACGTGCTTGCTGGTGGGCCCGTACTCCTCAGGGTTTGGCGGCTTCTGCTTACCCGCCAGCGTTAATATCACAAAAATTTATGCTAGCTCATCGACCCTCCGAATTTCCATTGTTGTTGCTGTGATGATTGCCTGATGGCACTTTCTCAGCCAGACCCACTAGGGATTACACCAGCATAAATAAGATAAGCCGCTGTCTGGCTGCTATTAAAATGCACCAAGATGCTCTCAGCTCAGACAACACTCTTGCACCAATGCAAACTACATCTTCAGTGTCTTTGTTACATGTTTTGCCTCTTTTTGGGGTTTTTTTGAGAATAAATTTTCTCTCTGAACAGCACAGCAACCCACCCAAATTTCCAGTTCTCTTCTTCTATCAATAACATTCAAATAACTTGGCAATTTCCCTCTCCTTGTCTCTGCTGGGCCAGGAGATGAACAGTCCTATGGGACTTTCAAGGGTGCTTCTGTACGGGATGGAGAAAATCCCGGAAAGCTCCCAAGGCAGCACGCAGCACAGGCGAAGACAGCAGAAGCTGATAGCTTTTTTGGATGTTGCCTGAGCTAAACTGCCATAGCAAAGCTCAGTTGTCACAAGAAGAGTGACCATTTCAGGGTTGGGTTGGATGCAAACCATCCCTCCAAAGGGGGGGGGGTTTTTGGGGCCAGCCTCCCTGCAGATCCCAGTGCTGTTTTCTGCTGTTACTTCTGAGCTAGAGAGTAGACACCTCTGCCTGCTGCTGGAAAGGCTTTGCTATTGCCTCACCCCCTGCTTCCTTGACTTTTCTTGCCGAGTCTAGAGGGGAAGCTTTAATAGATAATTTTAAGGAAATATTTAGCAAACACACACAAACATGAAGAAACTCAGAATTCATCATTCCTAGGTCACCTGGGTAACAGCACGCAGCAGTCAGCTTCCAACACACACACCAGGAGGCACGAAACCACGTTTGACAGTTTCAGCACATCCCTAAAGGTGCTCACAGAAACTCATATGGAAGGGCATGCATGAAGCTGCAAAAAACAGCGGGGCTGTGAGAGGGTGGTCCTCTCCCAGATGCTTGGGGTAATCATTTATCTTGGATATAGACTAGTTTGAGTTGGAAAAGACCTTTAAGATCATCAAGTCCAACTATTAACAGCTGCCCCGTTGACCACTAAACCATGTCCTTAAGCACCACATCAGCACAACTTTTAAATCCCTCCAGGTATGGTGACCTAACCCCTTCCCTGGGCAGCCCATTTCAATGCCTGACAGTCCTTTTGAAGATTTTTTTCCTAATATTCAATCTAACCCTCCCCGGTGCAACTTGAGCCCATTTCCTCTTGTCCTATCTTTTGTCATTTGGGAGAAGAGACCAGCACCCACCTCTCTGCACCCCCTTTCAGGGAGTTGTAGATAGCAATGGTGTCGCCCCGTGAGAGGGTTCTTTCCATATTGGAACTGAGCCCATGAAATTCATTTACTTGCAACTTTGAAGCAGAAAGAACCTGAAAATGACACCTAAGAAATACCAGCGCTCACTCACTGGAAGCGAACACACTCAGCATGGGCTTTTGCAGTGAATTTACTGAAAAGCTGAACACTGATTTCTGTGATTTTTCACCTTTTTTTTTTAATTAATGCCAGGAATATTGCAGTTTCTAATTATCTTCTTGCACTTAAAGCTTATTAGATTTGTATTGCCTCTTCCCCCCACCCCACCAGACCCCCACTTTTCCACTTTCCACACACTTCCTCCAGTCTACAGCTAATGAGACAAAATCAGCGGATTGCACTATCTGGCATCTTGCTGCTGAAGTGGCAGGAGTCTTTGGTTACCAAGCCATTTGCTGCTTAATTGAAATCTTTTCTCTAGACTCATTGCCATGCAGACACTCTATTGGAATGCAGTAGTCGAGCCCAGTATTGATTGTCCTCCTACTCCCAGCTTTCTTCCTCCGAGTTTGCAAATCAATTGCACCCTGTTGTTTCCCTTCTAAAAAAAAAAAAATTCAAAACCATCACCCATTCCACAACCCCTGAAACACACCGGTTTGGTCTCCAATAGATTCTTGGAGCAGGCCAAGACAAGAAATGGCACATGACTATAGTCAAAGCTACAGCCACCCCGTGTCAGATCACCTCCAAGCATCAGCCAGTTCAGATGGGGTCCAGTGTGGGAGTGGATTGTGCATATGTAAAGGGTGAAAGAAATCCTAGCTTTGCACTCTCACTGGAAGCAATCTGGAATTGATCTCCCTTCCTTATTACAGAAATTAAATTATTTTTAACACTTAAAAATCTAGTTATCCAAGAACTCAAACAGTTGAAACCTGCAGCAGAAGCCAGAGTGCAGTTGTGAGTTTGCAGGATTGAAAACCAAGGCTTGGCAAGCCATCACTGCTAACACTAGAGAAGAGAGTCAAAGCAACACAGTTTACTGCAGCTCCTGATTTTGAGATTATGGCACCCAAGAAGCCCTTTTGAATCCCATCCATTTTTAAGGACCCAGGGAACCTGGTCATTCAAAGTGCTCTTGTCAAGGCCAGTTTCAGTCATGGGGAAAACAGACTTAACTTGGGGAAATTAGTTTCATTTTATTACCAACCAAATCAGAGTAGGAGAATGAGAAATAATAAACAAATCTTAAGACACCACCCTTCTACCTCTGTCTTCTTCCCTGGTTCAGCTTTGCACCCAATTTCTCTACCTCCTCCTCAACAGCACAGCAGGACAGGAAATTGGGGTTGTGGTCCCTTCATCACATGTTGTCTCTGCCCCTCAGAGGAGGGTTCCTCACACTCTGCCCCTGCTCCAGCGTGGGGTCCCTCCCATGGGAGGCCCTCTTCCTCCAACTTACTCAACACAAGTACTTCCCAAGGGCTCCAGTTCTTCAAACTGCTCTGGCACGGGTCCCTCCCACGGGATGCAGTCCTCCTCACATCTGAGCCCACAGGCAGAGACAGCCCTTGCCCCAAGCACATTGCCAGTCACCTGTGGGTGTTTGGGTTTTGGAGGTTTTTATGCTAATCTAGGCAGTTTTAGCCTGGGAACAGATTTGGTTTTGAGCAGGAGCCATATGACCATTGGGAAAGAACTGAAAAGACTGTTCCTATCTTGGAAATCAAACCTTCCTGCAGAGCTGGAAACGAGCACCTAGTACCTGGGGGGGGTCACTTGTTCCTGCACAGATGTCAGAGGCTTCCCAAGCCCACATCATCACCCTGCAGATCTTGCAGACACCCACAGAGCCAGAAAGCACAAGGCCAGACAGACTTTGGTTTTTTGGTCTTGTACAGATAAATTGGTAATTTCACTCTTTCTGCACCAGAAGCCATAGAGGTCCCAAACAGATTTCATTTCCTTTCAATCCTCAGCCCAACGTGAGTATCATTCCAGGATCACACTCCAGACACCTTCCAGCCCAGAGCCCGTGTTGCTGTATTGGAACTCAGACCCCTGCATTGCAGGTACCAGCAAATGCTGGACTGACCAGGCAGCAAGAAGCAAAAAAAGTGTATATCCCCTACAGTCCCAAAGGCTCTGCAGGAGCTATGCAAGTCACATGACACCTATTTAAGCCTCAAGTTCCAGATTGCTCTGATCCTACCTGCCTTTTGGAAAATTAGGCTGTCAGGGTACCAAATATGCTCCTTGATATTTGCCATGTAATTAAGCAGTAATTTTTGCCCAAGGCTAATCGGAGTGTATTTTTCCTGTGGAGCTCAGTGCCAGAGTTCACAATTGTAATTTAGTGGCATGCCAAGGAGCTATACCTAAACTCACAAAAGGATTTTCTCTACTCATCATCTCTCTCCGACTTTGGTGGCAGCTGGGATTCTGTATTCAGAGATGTTTGGGCTGGACAAACAAATTAGCAGAGACCAGCCTCATCAG